GCACCACGCCGCAACAATAACAACTAGTTGTAACGCGAATAGCTTCATGGTGTGCGGTTGGTCCCTCGTGTCGTCTTTCTCGCAGGATGCAGTAGATGTCGCAGGCTAGCTAGCTACCGTGCGTATCACACGCGCTTCACGCTCGTTATATGTAAGAAACCGCTTCCCGTTCGCTCTTCTCTTCGCTGCGGTTCGCACACGATCCTGTCGCGTCTGTTTGCTTGCGTATCACTGAGACCGCTGTGGTTATACGTAACGCCCTCTGGTGGGTAGTGACGCAAACGATGATTCGGGACCTCGGGGCTTCTACGCGGCGTGTGGTCGGCGTGCTACGTACTCAGTGACGTCTACAACAACACGAACGGGAACTGTTCGCACAGCATGCGCGCCGACAACAACGTGATCAATGAATGCTCGCGACTGGAGGGTCGGCATGTGCGTAGCTCGTAGTGCGCATGCGCGCAGGCTACGTGCGTCTCTCGCATCGGCTGCCGCGCACAGACGCGGTAACGGCGATATTCTAACACCTGGATTTCAACCAAAGCTAGCGACATTTTGCTACGAATAATGTAGCAAACCTAATCTACATTTCCAAATCTAAAGACTCAGCTGGGTATGAGCTTTGGTAATCCTTTGCTATAGCTAGGAAATTAGGGGGTGGGGTGCCAGAAGCGGAGCGGATACATCCGCGCGCTCTCCTGTCAACGAGGGTTAGCCACATTGTCGGAGAAAAATCAGTAACTCGTGGGAAATACCAAAAAATTGCAGTCTGGTAGCTATAGAGCGGCACTATAGTTGCCGCAACGTACGAAAACAATTTGGACAGCCTGGGCGAATTTGTGGGAGGGCGGATTGGGTGGATAATTATTTTTAGTCACCCCACCTTTCGACCGCAAAAATTGATAACTTCTATTTTTCAGCTAAAACAAGCCAGGAAAGATACATTATTTGGGGCGAAATTTAATTACTTGTGAACTACTATTCGGAATTTAAAAGAGCCTAGCTGTGCTATCTGAGACAGTGGTCTGCCATTAAACGCTCGGTTTCTCGCCCCTTCCCCCTGCTACCTTTAGCACACGATCAATGTATCCGTGTGATCCGCGATTCATGTGATCTTCCTAAACAAACATGCCCTTAATTGCAACATGAGAACGTTTTATAGAGGCGTGTAACCGTAGCCACCCCAATGTAAAAAATATTGAATCCGCCCTTGCAGAGGGGGGGGGGGGAGTGAAGGAATGATTTATCTGTACAAACGTTCTATTACAATAATAGTTATATATAGAGCCATTATTTTTTGCTAAAATGCCAAAGATGCGGTGTTAAACCATTGATATTTAGAGAAAATCAGATCCCGATTCAGATTCCTGCTTACCGGATCTAGGAGCTTGATAGAGTTTCCCCGCATAATAATTTTTAGATAAGTATGGTTTCGATCCGAGCGATTCTAGCGAAATATTTTCTATTTTAAAATATTTGATTCTATTTCAACTGTGAATGATTTTGGAAAAATCCGCCCTGCAGTAAGAATAGGTCGCTCGTCTTGCTCCCATCAATCCAATCTCAACACCGTAGAGACTGCTTGGATCCGCCCCTAATGTGATGCATGACCTGAATGTCTTTACAGCGACGTGTCACCTGCATGGTGACGTGAAAATTTACGCCATCGTTTCCTATGATGAACGGATGTGCACATATAGCTTGCCATATACATATACGCACGCGCGCACACACGCTACATAGGGGGTCCTACATAGACTGAGATTTCTATATGTAGGCCTATGGGTATAGATTCTATCCTATACATGCGCATCATCAAGAGCTGATAATAACTAATAAAGGCAGTATCGGCTCTTGATATAATGTAATATGTAGCATTATGGTCCCTAACACTTTGAAGACTAATATTTACGAGGTTTTACGAGGTAGGTATGTAGGGTACGGATTGAGAGAGAATTCATAAAGTTTCTAACAGGTGGCGCTGTTCTCCCAATGTAAACAGGACGCCGTGTCTTCCGTTCTAGTTAGAAGATTTTTCACGCGTTTCATGTGTTATCGTCCCCTTTAAACCGAGAATCGTACATATATGTTCAGCTTCAATTGTACTGGAACGTTCAGTTAAAGGAATGACCAAGAAAAGTTTTGCAGAATGTTTCTGGGTAATTGTGTGACGTTACTAGTCTCAATACCTAGTCCGTAGTCGGCTCACTCTCAGTCTCATGCAGTCTCAGTCGCACTCTGACTCTTAGCTCTAGTACTATAGCCCGCGTACATTGATTGCCGCAGGCAAGTCACGGCACGGCACTTGCGACGGCCTGCGGCAGTCGGTGTACGCGGGCTATAGTACTAGAGCTATCTCACTCTCAGTGTGTACCACTCCTGTTCCGGAGAAAAAGCCAGAGGGCTACGCCACTGTACTGTAGTATTTGTATTGGAAGTGTCTACTGCAACGGTACCGTCGCCGATTATTTTTCTCTTAAAGTCACGGTACTGACGGTAC